ATAGGGCTGTGCATTCTACCCCGGGATCGTTCGGGCTTCTCTGGTCACCCACTCGGCTTGTGTGACTTTCTAAGAAACAGTTGTCGCTCTACACCGGGCCTATCGTTCGCGAAGTGACTGACGTCACGTACGAGATCATCCCAACGGATCCAACAAAGTCATCGTCAGTTCCGAGCGACACCGTTCATGTGGCTCGGCTAAAGCTCTATTACCCCCCCCCCCCCTGACATCATCTGCGTAACTTAAGCACCGGGACGGTGCTTCTGCCATCGGAGGTTATGATACATAACAGTCACCACAACGCGGCCGTATGAAAAAACACGACGAAAACAGTTTTGGTTGAAGCTGGACTTGCGCTATCTTGTTCGCCGAGTTCTGTGCATTGCGAATAGATTATTTAAGAAGTCACTCTTATCATTATATTTTTTTCAACTTACTGTTAAGCCTTCACAGGGTTGTTGAAGGTGTGGGAGGAAAAAGAAAGGCACAGCAAAAAAAGCCCCATAAGTAACAATAAAATTTGGCCATAGCAGCGTTGCTGAACAAGTAAAAATAAAGAAGTAAATACATCCATGAATAAAGTTGTAGTGGACGCATTTATAATTGTATACAATTATAAAAAAGGTAGAAAAAAGTTGACGTATTTGTAACAGTTGATGTAAATACAAACATTGGCAAACAACTTAATACAAGGGGTACAGTTGCAGGGTAGTTTCACAAGCATACGTGCACACGCACTACAGCGGTAGTGGTTGGTGTTAAGATTGCTTGTATAACTCTCTCGAAACGTTCCACCAAGACTTCCATCATTGATTCATCCTCAGATGGAGCCTCCGAAGGGAGTTCTTGTCGGCCAGCAGAGGACTGGTGTGGTCGGTGCCCTTCGCCTTCGAGACTCGCAGTTTTGGCACTTTCCCGCAGTGCTCACTGTCGTCGCGTTCTGAATCGGTGTTCATCACCTGCTAGTATCTTTCGAGTCTCCTTTGTCCGCGCTTGTTTGATGAGCAGTTGCACACGCTGCGGCCTCATCCCAGTTGCTTTCTCCTTCCGCATTGATGCTGCATGCGTGTTCTTCTTCGATGGTGACTGCAGTTTCTAATTCACGTGATTGTGGTTCGTGAAAGTCATGGGTGCGTTTACCGGAGCTAGGCTGTGTGCGGCGAGCGTCTGTTAGTTTACGGCGTGACAGATCCAGACGGTGTGGTCTCATGGAATTCCGTTTGTCTCGGAGGTCTTGCCACTCGCGAAAATCACCTCCTGCTCCACTCATTGCGTGAACAAACTCGGGCTGTATTGAAGAGTCGAAGTCCTCAAATCGCGAACGCAACCGGTGATGTGGCCCGCGCTGTCGGGAACCCATGAATTACGTCAGCTGACCGAGTCTACGTTGAATCACATATTCCGAGGTAGATGTCTTCGAGGTGACCGGCGGAGCGTTGAGGGTGGCCCGCTCACTAGGCCTCGGCTGGAACAGGGGCAGCTTACCGTTCGAGTCGCCTGCTGACGTGGGCTTGGCTCGCTTAGTGCGCGCTCGCGGGAACACGCGATGGCTCGCGCACGAGATTGCGGCCGCCGCTGCTGCTACTGATGATGATGATCCGCAGTTTTGTGGGGTTGTGTTCCTACTTCAGACGCTTTAATAACCCTTCTATGTCCAAAAGCTTGTTTCAGTTAAAAACACTAAAAAAACGTTCGTATGCATACGGAAATGATAAATTATGCCAAAGACGTTTTTAGAATTAAATTACGCATATTCATAGGCGTGTAATTAGTTTTTTCTCCTGAGCAACATTAGGAACCTATGGTACTACTTCGGCTGGAATGCCTTCCAGCAGTAGCGGCCTGAAATAAGATGTAGAGGCACGTTGCAATATTGAAGATTGAAATTTAATTGTACACATCCTAAAATTTTGGTTCACACCTGCCCTGTGGGACCTGGATTGAGTTGGGAAACCTTGGAAAGCCTAGAAAAAAATTTGAAGCTAGAAAAAAGAAAATATGCTGTCGTTTTATATTAGACCCATAATTTTAGATTTATTTTGTTTAAATAAAAAGGGCACCGAACCACGCTGACATTCTTGTAAAAATAAAGGTTCTTCTTTCTCTATGCTGAACTAAACGGATCGCTTATTTTGGGAATGACGCAGACGAGGAAGAAGATGAGAGTAGTGCTAACCGGTTCTTCAATTTGATAGATTTCTTTTTATCTCATACCAGAAGCATCGAAATTTAACAGCTCCGCGCAGAGTAAATATTACAATCACGTCTTCTCGTATCTACTTATACTCCCATGTATGTCAAATGTTGCTCGTGAGCAACAGCCCATTTGGAATCAAAATTTCATTGATGTAACTTGTGAACACCAAACAGCGTGTTCATAAATATTCTACTACGCCTTTTTCAATCATTTTTAGTGTTAGAGATATCACAGTAGCATCCTGTTTTGCTGTAGATTTTTTGTCGTTGTTGTTTGAAAGACTGCCCTTCGGCATATTGTTGCGCTGTAGTTGAATAAGTCGCCCTCTATGTGTGGAGCTTTTTTTTTTACTTCATGTCAGACACTGCAGCAAAACACTAAACAAAATGAACGTTATAGCTTGAAACGAAATCGTGAAAGAATCATTTATGCTTGTCCCAAGTGAGGCAGCTTCACAATCTTAGTCTTTGTTTTGCTGTTAAATCACTATTACCACAAAAGACAATCTGAATCTTTCCTGCGTTTAAGGCCTAAAGTACATTGGTTTCAAAGTCAAAGTATGTCAGCTAACACTGTATCATAACAGGTATAAATATATCTATATATATATTAAATATATATTATATATATATATATATATATCTATATATATTACTATGTATATATATATATATATATATGTGTGTGTGTGTGTGTGTGTGTGTGTGTGTGTGGTGTGTGTGTTATTGTAGTGTAAGCTTGTCTAACTAAGGTTTACGGTGAGCAGTTCCAAGCAAGCACCAGGAGCGCGTGACGTAGCACGGCCATAGTGGCGCCATGGAGAAGGCTTGGAAGTTCCAGGAGTGACGTGTCACTAGCGGCCTGGTGCTTGCTTTTTGTGAGGTCGCTCCCCCTCTAGTTCATACGTTCGTCCACCCATCCACGCTTCGTCCGCCCAGAAGAGGTAAGGAAAATAGAGAGCAATACCCCACCCCCCTCCCTTCAAAAAAAAAAACCTCTGTCGGAACCCCCACCACCCTCCCTTCAAGGCCTCTTTTCCACCTTACAGCAGTTGGAAGAAATGTGTCGGATCATTATGGGCAGAAATATAGTTATGCTGGGATGGGTTCTTGTGATGATCGTAACCACTAAAACAGAAGTCGGGACTCTCTCTACAGTTTTAGCTAAACAACCAACCACCATTCCCCCATAAATGACTGGCATGGATCCACCCAAGATCCATCCGTCTATCCGTGGTTCATCAGACTGTCCGTTCATCCATGGATGTTCCGTCCATGGTTCTTTCGTCCGTTCCTCCATAAATCCATGGTTTGTCTGTAGCTCATCAATCCGTCCGTTAATCTGTGGTTCGTCCGTCCGTCCATAGTTCACGCTACGTATATCTTGATGTAGCCGAGCTAAGCCACTGCTATATTTAATTTTCCTTAAAAGTGATTAGTTTACATCTCTCGCTAACACACACAGCCTTCCGATAGCTGTTAGTTCCGCTAAAGTTTTCGGTGTACTTATTACCTCGTCATTGAATTACAGATTGCTCTTTCCCCTGTTGGTACCTGTTCATGCAAGCACGATGGAATAGAAAATGAATCTAGAGTGAATAAAATAGTACCTAAGGCTGGCGAGGTAATAACCATTTGATGATAAATGTTTAATTATTACACTATATTTGCTTGGCAGTTGAAGGTTCATTCATACACTTCAACAAAAAAATATTCTGATTCTTTTTTTTTGGGGGGGGGGGGGGGGGGGGGTCGCTTGCCACGTGCATGACTCTTTTTGAAGCGGCCCGTCAACTTTCTCTGGAGGTAATTATGCTTCGTTCTAAGAGTACGGTGACCCACAAGAGAGTCAACATGCCTCTTTAAACAGTCATATTTGATCAATAAGGACTACCAAAAAGGAGTCACACACACTTTTTAGGGGCGAAGCTTCATAAGGCAAGGGCAAGTCCGGCGTTCTCGTAGCCACCTCTATTTCTCAGAATGTTCACTAGACAGCGCTGTGGCACCAGGCATAGGAGCGCATATTGTGATGAGTGGTCATTAGATGGCTCCGGAGCTTCGTCCATTCATTACCATTCACGCCGTGTATGTGCTGTATTTTTTTTCACACATTCTTAGAGTGCATTAGGAGGTATGGACACATACAGACTGTTTATTTTGGGCAAAATTTTCGTAGTGGTGCGTTATGCTTTATTCTATGCTATAAGTCTCTCATGCACCACTCCCAGTCAGAAGCACCTTTTGATAACGTCATTCTGAACATTGGTCACGACGGGAAAAAGCTTGTAAAGGCATTGCCATCAGAAAAGATGTCGCGGTCTACTAAAGGCCCTGGCATCTCAATCAAAGTCATTCCCATATCGTAACATAAAATCCAAACTGGAACGTTCTGCCACCTAAATAAATTTAGCGTGGGGGAAGCCCCATTCAAGTCATTCACTCTGACTGCATTGCGTATAGGCGGCCACGGATGGGTAGCCACCCAAATAATCTATTATTTAACTCTATACCCTTCCTACCACCCCTTCATGTGGACTCCTACGAACAGTGTACCCCTCCACGTGACGTGGGATTGCAAAAGCTCACTGGCTGTTACTACCGATTCCCGACCCCACCCTTTCCTCCTGGGAGTTTGCACTGCTTAGCTTGTGCGAGCAGAAACAGCAGCAGCTGATCTAGTGAGCTCGCGGAGTCGCGTAAGGCAATACAGCCCTGTACTGAAGGCTCTACCCAACAAATATTTTTTTTCAGTGCATTCACCGAAAAAAAAAGGTTTATTCTCTCTCTCTCTCTCTCTGCAGGCACATACAGCGTACTGCAAGCCAACTTCACCGTATCGCGTGAGCGTGGCTTCTACCTGATAAACATGTACTTTCCTACGCTACTGAGCGTTGTCATTTCCTGGTTCGCCTTCTACCTTCCCCGGACCAACGCCCCCGGAAGACTCTTCCTAGATCTCGGCATGCTGCTAAACCTGCTCTCAGGTAAAAAGTCAGGAAAACTCTTTTCTGCAACATAGTGCGTCAGTTAGCAACAAATAAAAATAAGTCTGTTTCATCCAACGGATGCTAGCGCCATCTTTATTTAAGTGCGGAACACATTTGGTACTCGGTTTGTGGTCCATCCATCTCATGTGGCACGACCACGCTCTCAATAGAGCACTCAGTGCGAGCTATAACAAAACTGGCAACGCCCAAAGCTGGTTTGAAATGAAGGAACATAATCTCAAATTATATGCAGAAGAGAAATAACCAAAACGTAATGGAAGTAACTAAAAATATTGTCCCCGTATTTGCATTTTACACTGCAAATGTCGTCGAAAGATCTTGTGTCTGGAGAGAGTGAACGTTTATTTGAAGTTCTGCGCAAGAAAATCGGTGAATGGTATTCTGGAGGCGCTGCGTTAGAGTGCCTCGAGCGTACAGCGGAGGCGAACGAGCGCATCGAGTCACGTCACACGTGAGACATGAGCGCTATCTGGCGGTTATCTTAGAAAACGAAGCACGCGGCGTGCGCGCTCGTCCCGGAGGCGATAAGGTGTGACGGATAGGTGCCACCACCGTGTCGTCTTAGCAAAGCGTTGGAAACATTTGCCTTTTCGTGCAAGCGTTGCATCGTCAGTGCAGCGTGATAAGCGCTACGGTCTGGAGAATTACTTGAGCGTGCCTTTTTTAGAAAAGAGACACACATACAGAAAATTGCTGTGTTGTTTTGGTGCCTCAGATATGCGCAATAATTGCTTTTAATTGATAACCGCTCAAGTATGAACGCTAAAGCTTGAGCTATATTGGTCGGCGCTGTGGATGTGGTCGGCTGTTTGGGGTATCGTTTGGTGCCGTTTGGGGTATCGTTAAGAGCGGACAAACAGACAAGTGTACGGACAGACAGACAGACAGACAGAGAGACAGACAGACGACAGACAGACAGATAGATAGATAGATAGATAGATATATAGATAGATAGATAGATAGATAGATAGATAGATAGATAGATAGATAGATAGATAGATAGAGATAGATAGATAAATAATAGATAGATAGATAGAGATAGATAGATAGATTAGATAGATAAGAGATAGATAGATAGATAGATAGATAGATAGATAGATAGATAGATAGATATATAGATAGATAGATAGATAGATAGATAGATATATAGATAGATAGATAGATAGATAGATAGATAGATAGATAGATAGATAGATGATAGATAGATAGATAGATAGATATAGATAGATATATAGATAGATAGACAGACAGACCAGACAGACAGACAGATTGACGAAAAAATTTTGCGTCGAAGGTCCCTAAGAAGACTATCGTCTTTAAAATTTTAAAAACGTTTCAGAACATGTTGCTGATTCCGACGAGTGTCCCCCCTCCTCGCAAGCGATCATGGCGCTAGGTGACTACGCCTGATCGGGGAAACAACCTGACAGAAGTCGCTGCACACGACGCATATCGCAACTTTCATAACGAGCAACAAGTCGATAACGGGCCGCAAAAAGTAGCCCCTGTTTCGCACACCATGTTTGTGAGCCGGCCTAATATTATTCTTCTCGTGTTGGGGAAATATTACACGCTTAACTCAAAACGTTGGCCTCCTTTCCACTTAGGTGAACGTAATTGTGAGAACTACTAACGGGAGTCACTGGATGACCATGCGATGCACTTTCCTAGGTTTCACAGTTTTTGGAGCAGCCATGTGTTTTTACGGGATAGCGGTAAAGAGCTCGTTTCGCAGAAATTCTGGCACCGGCATCGTAGGTTGTGAGCGAAAAATCATCATCTTATGCATGACCAAAGAATCAAGAACGGTGAAAATAAAGTAAATGAAAAACTCGCGGGTCAGAGCGGGGACAGAACCGGGGTCGTTTGGGTCCGAGAGGGGATGTAATACGGTTTGTTTGCGTGTCAAGCAGATGTTCAATTACTCAGCCACACCCCTGCTTGTGAATACAATGAAAAGAATTTCCTCTGTTTGGAAAAGCAGTGAAAGTAGCGTTCATGCTTTACAAGCACACGCGTCCTGTACACATGCTGCACAATGCAACATGAAATTGTGCAATAAAAATGCGTGGTACTAGTGCCCATTGACTGCGGGCGTCAGAACACGTGATTATCATAATAGCTCCGTGGTTTAAAGCCAGCCACCCAATACAAACGGCGCACACGCTACTGCGCCTTTTCTGTAGTACACGTAGTGGGTGCATAGCATGTTCGAAAATTTTTCATGTACAAACTGTTTGGGGTACGCATTAGGAACAGGATATCGCTACCACGGTCAACCCCTGAAGCGAACCCTTATGGTCCCCTAATTTTTATGTAGTGGTCGCTCTAATACACAGATAAATTACACTGCGGCTATAGATATGCTGTATACAGTAGATGGTTTGCTCGTTTTCTTTATTCATTGCTCTCATATAATGAAAGGCGCAAATGACCAATGAGTGCTATTCTCTTCGTGTATCGGGTGTAAAAAATGTTTGTCTTTATTGTTTTCAACAGCTAACTTTTTTTTTCCTGCTTCAGTGATATTTGTGTGCTATTTGAAAAGTAAACTTCCACTCGGTAGTCTGAGCTTGTCCCTGTTTGCGTCTTGTTCTCGTTTTCTGTCCCGCAGGGTGCATCGTTTATGACTCTCTCTGTGCTTTTCGAAGGCTGGAGCTTAGAGCGCTCTCGTCTAAATAAAACAGACTAGCTGAAAAAACTTCATTAGGGCAATTTCCCTTATGATAAACTAGGCACAATGTATTCAAAGTGTACCTCGATCAGAATGAAAGCCAAAAAGAAAACTTACTGCTGGCAGGCACCAAACCTACGATGAAGGTGGCATGTTCGGTCCCCGCCAGCAGCAAGCCATCTTTTTGTACACTTTATCCATTCAAACTTAAACCGCAAATATAACAATAACCTTACAACAGATAAATGAACTTACCTGAAACCGTCCTATAGCTTAAGTATCAGCCGGTTTTCTTCAAGGTTTCCTCAAATAAAGCAACGTGCCCTCAAGAATACCCTTATTTTCTTCATACCCCTGTCAAAGCCTGTACGTCTCGCACATGAGAAATAAGCGCAGTTGGTTAAAAGTGATTAAAGATCGGTATGTTATTGTGATGCTGCTGTAATGTCGTGTTACTCCTCGTTCCATATTAACAGGCAAGCGAACCGCGAAAGAAAGGGAAAAATTGAATTTAAAGGCTCCTTCTTCAGTGTGTGTATACTGAAAAAGAGGGCAGGAGAAGCGCCCAATCTTTTGAAGGGCTCGCCACCGTTTCTGAAGTGTTAGAGGTCACGGCAGTTAAGGGAAAACCGGCGACCTAAAATCACCAGAACAAATTAAAGAAGCGCATATAAGGAAAACAAAAGGAGCGAATAGATAGATGCAGCGCGTAAGCGCACGTTAATGAGGCACTAACACTCTAATAATGCTCACATTTTGTGCGTACGTGATCCGAGCTGTTTCGCTTTATTGCAAGGAGTAGAGAAGACATTTCACGTTGCAGCCGGTTATTGAATGGAGCTTTTTGTGAACAATCAACACTTTCTTTGTTTTTTGTACGCTCGCAGCAACTTCAGCGAATATGCACCAAACACAAACGTATGAGCCATTCGGTATAACAATCAAAATCAAGCTGAACTAAATACCTTCAAAAACGGCATTGAATGTGCATACAAAGAAATCTGCATCAGCGATGTTTGAGCATTTTTCACCGCAGTCCCCGAAATTGCGCGCCGCAAATTTTATGCTGATGGCCAGTATACGCTTATACGTATATGTGTTTGAGCCTTTCTGCGTTAGCTCCGCGCATACAAATGTCATAAAGATTGTCAGCCTGGAAAAGAATGAGCTAAAAGATCATTTTCCTTTTTCTCCGTGAACTTGATTTATATTTACAGAACACTTCCGTAGCCCCTGTGAAAAAATTAATATCGTCTCCTTAACCGAGGATGGCCTCTCAAGCAAATAGCCCTCAAAAACATTGTCTTTCACACCTGGCAATGTAACAGAGAGCTTAAAAGTAGCGCTTAGTATCTTCTTACCACGACAATGCTATATCTGGTTAGGTGGAATGAAAAACCGTTCGCCACATGAAAACGATAAACGTATCCATTGGCTGTCCGTCAGTTCGGTCGTTTTCTACGTCGCCCCCAAGCGCACACGCCATTGGGAGTGGTCGTCAGTGACATCATTCTTCCGTTCGTAGACGTGCCGCTGAGAACGCGCGCGCTAGCAGTTTCAATGGAGTGGCCTTGAAAGAAGGAAAATGAAAATAGCAGCACCGTAACTGCCTCTCTCGGGGAGGTCAAACTCAACAGCGTGCGGCCAACAGGGATGGGGCAGTGAGAATCTAGTGTAGGAGATAAAGAAAAACAGAGTTTAGGAAAGGAGGTATTTCGGCTCCATCCTAACCGTGCGCACGTGCGTCACCTCTCAGCCAAGCGAAGTCATCCAGCTGGTCGACAGGAAAGGAGAGATGTAAACAAACAGCACGTGACGGTTCACGGGCGTGTGAAGTGTCAGGCGTCTCAGGAAATGTAAAACTCACGGACACCCCGACACTGAAGACAACTTTTAAAAACAGCGCTGACATCTGATTCGCGATGAGAATTCATGTTCGCCGGGCCGACGCAGCTGTCCTGGCACATGAAACACCGACTGGTTGTGAAGGGAAAGCAGCAACTACGTCTAGAGGTTAGCGCCTGCCGGAGCAAATGCAACGTGGCAACGGTGAGACGAAGAAGAAGCGCCGTTGTATGACGAGTAGCGACAACGTTGTAACGGCAAGGAACGCGTTCGCCAAGGCCGAAGCCGATTTGGTGAGAGTTTCTGAAGTGGCACATTTGCTTTGGCTGCGTCGTCTGCAACCACGTGTGGCCACAAGTTCGAGCTTCGCTGGTTAACGATCTGTACAGAGTGCTAATAATGTTATTAGACGAAAGCGGTTAATTCTATTAGTCTCGAATTTTAATCATTCGGTGTCCGGCCTTCGGTGGTGTTTCGCGTACCGTGGTTTCTGGGGACGATGAGATGAAAAAAAGTTATTACGTGATGACGTCAACATATGATGTCACGATGTGCCACAGATAGCCAGGATTGCGATGTCATGATGACGGCGCGTAACGCAGCGACACATTAAGTCAAGACATCGACATCCTATAGCTTCGTCAAAGGTCCATGAAGTCCCTGCAAAACCAAGTGAGGTGCCGCCTATCTTGGAGACTCTGAAAAAGCACGTTAGGTGTAGAAAGCTTTCGTAGGGTGGCGGGGCATCATTAATACATAAGCTGATAAGAAAAAAAAAGGTTTTTTATGCCTTTGCGGGGTCTTAAGTGGAAGCATAAGGGACGCTGTGAGCTCTCGTGAAAGGAAAAAAAAAAAACCCTGTGTTCGGAGAAATCTATGACCATACGACAGAAAACCATCGAAGTAGTGAGTAGACGCTTTGACGAACGGTGTGCCAATTACCAGTAGCGAATTAGGCTGCCCTGAAATAACGACTCTGGATCCACCTGCATGCGAGTTGATTTAAGCTTGAGCTACTAATCACTCGTCGGAGGCGTAGGCCTCCGGCGAGTGATTTTACGCCGTCTCTCATTGCGCGTGGTTGTAGAAGGACTTACTATTACTGAAGCGGACAGGCGGATGGCATGCAAGTAACTCAGAAAAAGTTAGCACAGCTCGCATTAAGTCACGCAAGGATGAGACACAGAAGAGCTTTTGGCCAGCCTAGCTGGTACTACCTTCTTGCCCTCTTACCTCTATCTTATTTCCACCTCTTGCTATACTATCCATAGATATACCATTTTCCTGTTTAGTATACGTCTGTCTCTTTCCATCTATGTGTATTTGTTTCTCCGCCTTCCTATCTTTCTGTCCAGTCTCTCTTTCTTCTTTTTCTCTCTCTCTCACTCTCTTTTAACCACAGCGAAACTGTTCAAATTGGCCGTATAAACTTTGGTGTGTACAAATAACTATCACGATGATGGACAAGGCATTGTGCCCAACACATTAGCATAATCCCCTTATTCACCACTTCCTCATTAACGGAGGATAGAGGCAGAAATGGTCGGCAAACACCAAGGTTTCTAGACACAGCCAGCAATTGAGAAAATAAACCGTGGGAGTTGACCCAGTAGCCAAAACTGTGGGAATGCTCGTTTTCAGTGCGAGTTTCGGTCCCGGGAGTTCGGGCTTCCCTGTTTTACCTGTGACTGCCGTCAACTCGAACCTCTCTGCACCAAGAAGCAGCCTTAAAACCACCTACTAGCACCTATAGGTAAAGCCCAGCAACAACCTATAGGCTAGAAGCAATCCTGCAGACTACATATCAGAGTAGTCCAGCAGCGCTGTTTCAAGCCTTGCGGGACGTTGTGCAAGCTCTACCATATTTTTGCTCCTTGTTTTTTTCTCTCCTTCTCTCTCTCTCTCTCTTTTTCACGTTTTATGCTTATCCCTTCGGTACTTTAGGGGCAATGGTACATAGTTTCTCGTTATAATTTGTGTTATGCGGGTAAATAAACTGGCGAATTTAGGGCATGTGATCGAGCATTTAATTCTTATCTGATAATTCTGTAAACACATAAGTGGCTGGAATCGATGACGCACTTTCGCCGGAAACCGTTCTGACGTTCAGCGTATTTCGGTGCGACGTCATTCATTTATGCGCAGGTGAACAGAGGCGTGCGCTCGGAGCTGCCCCGGTGTCGTACATGAAGGCACTGGACGTGTGGATGGGAGGCTGCATTTGCGCCGTGTTCGCATCCCTGCTCGTCTTCTCCTTGGTGAACTACTTGGGACGCATCAAGCTGCGGCCGAAGCTGTACCGAAGGTCGACGATGCCGCATTTGTAGTAAGGTTCTCTTCACTGGCCTCACACCCCGCATGCAGTCTGTTCGTCAGCTCATTGCACATATAGCATGGCTCCACCGGTGTAAAAGTAGCGGACATTTTACGCCCTAAAAATCAGGTCAAGAAGACGTAGTCATTCGCTAGTCTCGACGCGGTGCTCTCTTTTCCGTGCCTCCTTATAGAGTCTTCTTTCTTCACGATTAAAAATAGCGGAAAATTGCCAAACCTTTATTATTATCTTTCCTACTCCCTCTATACAGGGCCTATAGTGACCGCCGCCATCATATATATATATATAATATATATATATATATATATTGTAGCGAAGCCTCCGAACGCTGAAATGGGTCGAACTCTTGAGTACCTTCTAGTGGGGCTACCCAACAAGGACGCCGTTCGCGCTGAGAGCCCGGCTTGGCTGTGACTGTCGCCATTGTATATTCTCGCTCGTTGCCGGCTAATAAACGCATTAAACAATTTGGTGGAGAGTGCTGCGATCTCTGTCTATGCCTCGGAGCTACGATCACGTACCCTGCCATCTACTATGTACCCCGACGCTTCTCAGCAAACGCCTCCTCCAATGCCACCCCCTTGTCTCGGTGTCCCCAGAATCCGCGATCCACCCATCTTCACTGGCGACTGATGGCACTGACGTCGGAGGGCTGGCTCGCCATTTACGAGGCGCGTGAGCGTCCCCAACAATGGGACGAGGACGGCAAGCTGACCAACTTAGGTATTCTACCTTACGGGTGTTCGCTAGTTTGTGGTACAACAACCACGCGTCCGATTTTGCCACCTGGTTCGATTTTAAGACCGCAATCATCAACGTCTTCGGCCGCCCTGCGTTCGCAAGCTGCAAGCCGAGAAGCTGCTTGACGTGAACGTGCTCAGGAGGCTGGTGAGTCATTCACCAGCTATATTGAAGACAGTCCTGGACCTATGCAACAAATCTAATCCAACCGTGTCGAGTCTGCAAGATCCGGAAACATCATGAAAGGCATTGACGATGATGCCTTCACGATGCTGCTCGGCCAAAAAACCCCGGCACAGTGGCTGAGGTCATCACACTGTGCAGAGCTACGAGGAGCTCCGCCGGCAGCGTTCGATGACCCGACGCTCCCCACCACAAGCTGCAAACGCTTGCTGGCTTGGAGGCCAGTTGTGACCAAGTGGCGTTGATGGCATATCTAAAGTCCTTCATCCGTGAGGAAATCGCGCGTCAGTTCTCGCTCCTGCCCTTTGCCACCAACCGACTGTTCAACAATCGCCTACTACCCTTCTCCTCCCATCCGTCGAGCGATTGAACAGGAAATAGCGGAGGTAATGCCTGCATACTACCCTCCACAGCCTCCGGCTCCTGCGCCCCTGTGTTACGCGCAAGTTGGTCGCCAGGCCGCCCCAAGTCGTTCCAGCAACCGCCCCTCTGACTTACGCCGAAGCTGCCGCTCGACCTCCATCCTTTGCAGCGGGTGTGCCCGCTACGTATGTTGACGTAACCCCTCACCCTCAGCTTCAGTCCACCATGCAGCCACCGTTCCGCCCATCAGCCCTTGCGACATGGGTGAGACCTACCCGGGAACAGATGGCGCACACCGCACAACCGGCCATCTGCTTTGCCTGCGGTTACGCGGTTCACGTGGCCCGTTATGCCATCGTCTACAGCCGGCTCCAATTTCTTCACCTGTTGCTGGCCAACTCAGCCGTCCTTATCGCGAAGAACCGCCCGTCTATGCCGCCTCGGTCTCGCCAGGTCCATCTCGAAGATCGCCGTCTCCACGGACGTCGTTCCCTGTGCCCCATTGCGGCCAGTGCGGCAGCTCATGAGTGGGAAAACTAGTCGTCGCAGTCCCGAGCAAGGACTGCGACGCTATCGCAATGTGAAAGCCCCAGAGCAGCCCCTCGAATGTCATTGACGTGCTTGTGGACGTTGTTTGTGCATCAGCTCTTATTGACACTGGAGCTGCCGTATCAGTTATGGACGAAAAACTCTGCCGCTTACTTCGAAATGTGACGACGCCACTTTCTGGGTTATCCCTCCGTACTGGCAAGTTTGCACCGCATTCATCTACAGACAGGGTGCAAAGCCTGCGTTGTCATTTCAGGACGTTCTGTATGTCGCCTAGTTCCTCATCATTCAGGCATGCTCTCATGAACGTCATCCTGGGATCGGACTTTCTCTCCCGCCATGACGCCGTCATCTATTGTGCCGCCGCCGAAATTGAGCTCTCACCCTTCTCGCATTTGGTGCCAGAAGACAGTCCCCCGACACTGAGCAAGATTCTAGCGAAAGACGATACAACAGTGCCTCCAAACTCGACGACGGCTGTGTCTGTCTACTGGCGCTGGTCTCTCCGACACCATTGGACCTTGTTCGCCATCTGACCGCGCTTGCAGCAGGAAAAGGGTTGCTAGTACCTTTCGCGACCGTGCAGGTCACCAGGGCAACCCTGCTATTTTTGTAACCGAACCCGTCCCCGTACGCTGTTACCTTGCTTCGAGGGGAATGTCTCGGCAGAGTGGAACCAGTCGACGACGCACAAGTCCTGGACGTACCCGATGACACGCGCGGTCCCAGGTCGTGTACCATCAATGCTTGTTTCCACTTCTGATTCGTCATCTGCTGATGTATTTGGCCCCTCCATCGCTGACAACCTTACGGCCGTACAGCGTTCCCAACTTCTGGACCTGTTGCAAGAATATCGTCTTCTTTCGATGTCGGGCGAAGTCCTCTCAGGTCGCACGTCCGTTGTTACGCATCGCATCGACACTGGTGCCCATCCACCTTTACGGCAACGTCCATATCGCGTGTCGCCTGCTGAACGTCGAGTAATTAATGATCAGGTTGACGATATGCTCCGACGCGAGTTATTCGGCCCTCGGACAGTCCATGGGCGTCTCCTGTTGTTCTTGTTGCGAAGAAAGACGGTTCTGTGCGGTTCTGTGTGGACTACAGACGGCTCAATAAGATCACTCGCAAGGATGTTTATCCACTTGCCACGCATCGATGACGCGATTGACAGCCTTCATGGAGCCGATTTTTTTTCTTCTCTCGATCTGCGCTCGGGGTACTGGCAAGTACCCATGGCTGACGACGCTCGACCAAAGACCGCCTTCGTCACGCCAGACGGCTTGTACGAGTTCAACGTCATGCCGTTTGGTCTATGTAATGCACCTGCGACCTTTGAGCGCATGATGGACACCGTTCTGCGCAACTTGAAATGGTACACGTGCTTGTGTTACCTCGACGATGTCATTGTCTTTGCTCCGGATTTCTCCACGCATCTCCAACGTCCTGAAAGAAGTTTTCGCACGTGTGAGCAATGCCGGCTTGCAACTAAATCTGAAGAAGTGCCGCTTTTCAGCACGGTAACTCACCATACTTGGGTACGTCGTGTCCAAAGATGGCATTCTTCCTGATCCTGCCAAGCTTCAGGCCGTGGCCGAATTCCCCAAACCTGCATCTGTCAAAGAACTGCGTAGTGTCGTGGACCTGTGCTCATACTTCCGACGCTTCATACGAAATTTTGCCACGATCATATCACCGCTGACGAAGCTTCTTGGAAGTAACGGGCCCTTCAATTCGTGGTCATCCGAGTGCTACGACGCGTTCGCGAAGCTCCGCCATTTGTTGACGTCGCCTCACATTCTACGCCACTACGACCCCACAGCCCCAACGGAGCTGCACACGGACGCCAGCGGTGTAGGCCTCGGCGCTGTCCTGGCGCAGCGAAAACCCGGATTCCCCGAATATGTCGTAGCATATGCAAGCCGTACGCTCACGATAGCCGAGAAATACTATACCGTCACGGAGAAAGAGTGCCTGGCGATCGTCTGGGCTCTTACAAAGTTTCGACCTTATTTGTATGGTCGCCCATTCGATGTCGTCACCGACCATCATGCACTATGCTGGCTTTCATCATTGAAGGATCCCTCAGGCCGTCTCGCCCGTTGGGCTCTTCGCTTACAAGACTACGACATCCGCGTGCTGTACCGCAACGGACGCCAGCATGCTGACGCCGACGCCCTCTCGCGCTCCCCTCTGCCTGAAGGTGATGTGCTCTGCTCAGTATCCTCGGCTGCTGTTTCTGCCATTGATGTTGACATCATCGCTACCGAACAGCGAAAGGATAATTGGATCGGCCCGCTCATCGACATGCTCTCTGATCCATCCGCAACGCCATCCACGCGTACCTTGCGTCGTCAAGCTCGCCATTTCGCCATCCGTGACGGCCTTCTACACCGACGCAATTACGACGCCGACGGCCGGCAGTGGTTACTCGTGATACCCCGCAGTCTGCGGTCAGAGATATGTGAATCCTTCCATTCTGATCCGCAATGCGCGCACTCTGGGGTATTCAAAACCTACCATCGCATTCGACAACGCTACTTCTGGTGCGGGATGTACCGCTATGTGCGGCAGTTCGTTCGCTCTTGCCTCACTTGCCAACGCCGTAAACCGTCAGCCCACATGTCGCGCGCCGGTCTGCAACCGTTACCTTGCCCTGAACGTCCCTTTGGGCGCGTAGGTATCGATTTGTATGAACCACTTCCTCTGACGTCGGCGGGTAACCGCTGGGCCATCGTTGCCGTTGACCATTTAACGCGATACGCCGAAACCGCCGCTCTCCCTGCGGCTACTGCGCGCGATGTTGCGTCCTCCCTGCTGCATCAATTCATACTGCGCCACGGACCACCCCAAGAGCTTCTCAGTGATCGAGGCAGTGTCTTCTTGTCGGAAGTCATCGAAGCCATTCTTACGGAGTGCCATTCTGTCCACCGCAAAACTACTGCTTACCACCCACAGACGAATGGCCTCACCGAACGCTTTAACCCCACCCTCGGCGACATGCTTTCTATGTACGTCGCTGCCAACCACACTAATTGGGATAATATACTGGCCTTCGTCACCTACGCCTACAACACCGCCCCTCAGAGCACGACTGGTTTTTCACTTTTCTACTTTCTGTACGGAAGGCACCCGTCGCACACCATGGACACGATACTCCCGTACACGCCGGATCCATCTGAGTGTACACCTATTTCCGAGACAGCCAGGCTTGCTGAAGAGTGTCGCGAGGCTTGCCAAGACTTTACGACGCAAGAGCAACAGCGGCAGAAGAGTATTCGTGATGGCTCCACCACTTCTGAGCCCACGTTCCTTCCTGGTGCGCTTGTATGGCTCTCGATCCCGACCCCTGCAGCGGGCCTCTCTTCCAAAGCTACGTCCCAAATACGAAGGCCCCTACCGTGTCATCGAGCGCACCTCACCCGTGAACTATCTGATCGAACCCGTTGAACAATCTTCGGACATGCGCCGCCGTGGGCGCGACATCGTCAACGTGGAGCGCCTGAAGACTTATTATGACCCGCTCAATAGTAACACTGCTCTTAGGTCGCCAGGCGGCTCTCTCTTCGACCCCGGGGTAATTGTAGCGAAGCCCCCGAACTCTGAAATGGGTCGAACTCTTGAGTACTTTATAGTGGGGCTACCCAACAAGGACGCCGCTCACGCTGAGAGCCCGTGCTTGGCTGTGACTGTCGCCATTTGTATATTCTCGCTCGTTGCCGGCTAGTAACGACTTTAACAATATATATATATATATATATATATCTATATATATATATTATTAGTCAGCACTACATTACTACTGCTACCCCTGCAAGTTTTAGTAAATTTTTACCGCAACTCAAACTCTTTAAGCCGTTGTTCTTCCACTGTGTTCATTGCTACGGCTGCTACTCTAAGCCTGGCACTATACCTAGTGTAGTGCCACTACTAAACAGCAATATTGTTCCCACGCTGCTTAATAATAGAGGTGTTCCGATTTTTGCGGTATATCCTATTACGCACGTTTCTGATTGCCATGAAGTCATTCCCACATGCTTCTACATTAGTAGTAGTAGTAGTATTAGTGTAGTAGTAGTAGTAGTAGTAGTAGTAGTAGTAATAGTAGTAGTAGTAGTTTGTGGTGTTGTAGTAGTAGTAGTAGTAGTAGTAGTAGTAGTAGTAGTAGTAGTAGTAGTAGTTGTGTTGTTGTTGTTGTTGTGGTGTTGTTGTTGTTGTGTGTTGTTGTTGTTGTTGTGTTGTTGTTGTTGTTGTTGTTGGTTGTTGTTGTAGTACAGCCAGGATATTACGTCCCAAAACAACTATGTGATATGAACACGCCGTCATGAAGTCCTCTGGCGATTTTCACCGCGTGCTGTTCTCAAACGCGCACTTACATCGCCAAAACACGGGCTTTGAGAATTTCACATTCACTGAAATGCGACCGCTGTGGCTGGGATATAACTTGAGCCAGACATCGTAGCCAATGCACCAGTGTGGCGGACTCTATATACAAATAACTGATATAAACTCTCATGCGTATCACTTCGTTTTTCATATTTAAATGCACTCAAACTGCGAACACTTGTTACACCACAAAGAAAGATTTTCTAACTGGTCCTGGCTGTTTTTCGAACCAGTATGACAATTCAAAGTGTGGCTAACCACTGTCTAAACTTACCTCAGTAATATATTGTAGCCGATGTGATACGCCATGGCCTCACTGACATAATTTACCCTCTTACCTATTTCTTCTCTGAACATTCCTTCTTATGTTACGAAAATTACCCTTTCGAAGACGTAGACAAAGTATATTATAATTTCCTTGCTTATTTTCTAACCACCACTCTTGCACACATCGGTTTAACTGCTTCTACTTTCCCAAAGAAAAAAACTCTTTGATGCTAACATTCTCAACTGACTATGCAAAGTAGTTGCGTGATCACAATATGCACTGCTTTATTGGCATGATTGAACGACTGAAGGCTTGTATGATGTCTCTTTTGCCAGCTTGTGACGCGAAAGGAGGAGCTGGCCGAAGATCCAGAGAACTACGACAGCAAAGAGTACGAGGAGCTGTACAGGAACGCCAAGCGGGCGGACGCATCGACCGCTTCGCTCGTGTCGCCTTCCCGTTTGTCTTCCTCGTATTCAACACCGCCTACTGGTCCCTGTACTCAGCCAGGCGTACATCAGTGTCCAGGGTGAACTGGAGCTCGCCTAGGTTGGGTCGTCGCCTTTACAGGCTTTGGTGATACTCGAGTAAATAAAAACTCAAACAAAAAACTCAAACAGGGTGGAATCCTTCACGACCTCAACAAAGTTTTCATTTCTTCATTCATCAATGGGGTCCCTTGCGCAATCGCCAAAGATGAATCGAAGACGAAAACCAACTTCTCTTTCTTCTGAGTTCAGTATATTGTTTCTTTTCCGCCATCCTTCGAAAGCTTTTCAACATAACGCGGTTTCAAAAACCTCAAGGAATGGTGGCCTGCGAAGCTTTCTGCCTTTCACGTGACTTTGCACTGCCTCTGTGATTGGCCCAAGTTTGACCAAGCCACGATGTCGTGTGAAGACGTCATCACGTTGAGGTCAAAGCCACATATTGAAATCAGAAATTAAGCGATTTGGAAAAACATGATGACGTTCATATGGTGATTTCATCAAGTGTGATTTTTTTCTTTTCTTCTTTTTTGCCTCACTAATATTGAACCCATCGGCGGTAAATTTTTGTGTTTTAATAATTAGAACCTAATAAAAACTGAAACTAAAGGCTATTCATTTGGGGAGGCGGTGGAGAAGGTTGAAGATACTATAAAAAAACACATCAAGTGCGCTGAACTTTTTTAAATGTCGACAATTAGCAGAAGGTTGAGAAAAATACCATGCATCAATTATTTTTCTTTGTGGCCTTTATTCAAAACAAAAAACAAAGCAACAGAAATAAAGGCATAGCATGCAAATTCTCTCTAACTATTTGATATATAGGAAGGATTATCGTGTACTGTCGGCTTGTCAGTTGTGATGAATAAAGCGGAGAGAAAAAGAATCGGGGGTTTCAGTTTTTGTATTATTGTGGACAGAAACGTCTTTATGTGGGTTAATGTGTCTTCCAAGAACAATTTTAATAAGCAAGTAAACGTGAAATAGGGCCTATGACATGGCTCTCTAACAATGAACAGGAGCATGTCACGACCCTAATTTTTTTTTTGCTAGAAAGAGAACTTCATGAAAAACTTTAGCGTCGAGGTCCCCAGAGTTCGTCTTTATTAGGGCGTTTTGGTTACTATGGGTGAAGTCTCGTCGTGCAGGTACGCACTGGACGTTGCAGCTCGCTGGTTTTGGTCACAGGTCATCATCTGGCTTCCTAAGTCTATTTGGAGAGTCACGCCTCCCTGACTACTTTATGGTTGTGGGGGAGGTACGACTGTGTCATAATTAGGGGTAGCCGGTGTACGTCAGACGCTTCCTGGATTACTGTGCGTGGGATGCCAGACTGGTGTCAAGAGAGAAATCTTTGCAGCTATGCTTGGTCTTTGCGCGCATGCATCTTGTATGGTGATATCTTACTAAGAAAGGAGAGACAAGGGACTTGAAAAACAGGCGGTTCAGCTTGCTCTCTGTAAATACAAGCTATTTACGTTTGCTACCAGAGTAAAAACCACATTAGAATTCATAACCAAGGACCAAGCAGGATTTAACGGTTACTCAACAATCGATC